TGAGCTCTTCGCAGGGTTGAGTGGAGATTTCCTTGCTCTCGCTCTTCGAAAGACACAAGGTCCCCATCAACGGTGAGAAGTCAATGCACGGCACGGCATACAAGGTCCACGAAGCCAGACGGGGTTCTTCACTGATAATGGTCTCCTGATCAATCGTCGTCATGAGCTTGAACTTCTGCACCTGAGGGCAGTGCAAACTTCGGCACAAGCAAACATTGAGGAATGAAGAGGCTTCAATCCCAGGATCTGCACGCAACTACAGGGACCTCCGCGGACATGAAGTATTCCTCCAGGTTGCTCCTCATGTTCAGGCTGCTCAACTTGCACATGGCCCCCGCATCGGTCGCATCCTGGACTAGCTCGCGCTCGTAGGCCTTTTGGTAGTCCTTGAAAGTGACCTTCATGACCTCATAGGACTCATGCACACGCAGCTCTTCCAGTTCCCCAATCTGCCGCTTGCGACTGACGAAGCGTGGTTCTGATAGTGCCGCCTTCAACCTTAGCGGGCTGCTTGGTGATTGCATTGCACGATGCTCAGTGTGCGCCATCCTCCCCTGAAACACTGACGCCAGGTAGCTGGCGCGCCTTCTTGCGGAAAGCTCGAGTGGCTGCCACGATAGGGCTTTCGTAGACGTCCTTTAAATAAAATGACGGAAGCGACTCGATGCGAGCATCGGGCCCCACTGCAAAGTAGCCGACGCGCTCCATGATGCTAGTGCGCAAGGTGAGGCTTCAAATTTGCAGCGCTGGACTTTGAGAGGGCAACTCAGCAGTACGATGTGCTGGCAAGCGCTGTGCTGAACCTTCACATGTGCAACCGAAAGCGACTTCACAGACAGATGCTGCGTGAATGTGCAGAAGCACAACCTCGAACCTTTTGCCCCTTGACACTGTGGATGCCCGATTCCATGGCCCCTAGTCTGAGAATCTTACAGACTCTCGGATTCCTGCTGTACAACCGTGAGTCGGCCGAGCTCCCTCTCGCCCAACTTCTTTGCTTGATCCTTGGATGGATCTGGATGCGTTTCCAAAAAGAACGCGACGGAATTCGCGACTTTGATGACCACCTCGAAACTGTCGTGCGTGATGGAAAACCTCAACAGCTGCAAGCAGGCGTCGTGCAACGCTGAGCGTGCAAGGGCATGACATCGACTCGACTCCGACACTACTACGCAAGACTCCGACGTGCTCACACTGATTGCGGGTCTGGGGCATGCTCTTCTGGTTTCTCCGGACTCGCACGCAGGCAGACGGCTTGGGAGCAGCCCAACGCACTTCAATACGATATGACACTGTGCTGTTCACCATCCTGAGCTCACAGGACATAGATTCCACATGTTGCAAGGAGAAAAGAAAATAAATCACGCTCCAGAAAGCTTAGGCAGCTCCAAGACTCTTCTTCAGATCCGCAAGCTCTCGCTCCGAGAGCTTGACTGGATCGCGCAGGGTTTTCGAAACTTTCTGCTTCTTCGAAGGTACTTCCGGTGGCTCATCTTGGATCCTATAGAAGCAAGGTGCGTTAGTAGCAGTTTCCTGACTGAGACAGGAAAGCCTTGTACTGCAACAAGTCACAAGAGCAAGCTGATATTACTGGCCAAAGGGGCGGAACAAGATCTTGAAAATGATCGGCTTTGGCACAGGGGACACGGTGGCGGAACTTGTTGCTCAGAACGGGCAAGGACATGTCGCACTTGGGATCAATGTTTTGCTGTATGAGGTCCTGGGCATGCGGGTTCAGCATTTGACCGCGTGTCAGCCGCGGGTGACAGTTGACAAACGGCCCCTATATAGTATATGGGTCGAGACACTCTGAGTTCTTGCAGTTGCGAATCCTCGTGCTCATCGCAACGCTCCGCCAGGCCTGCTGGTCACGGGCTGCAGAACTGCATAATCGAACACTAAATAGATCCAACTGCAAATGAGGCTTCTGAAACTTTGAAACTGCAGTGCAAGGCACGCTTGAAGAAAAGAAGCAGGCGCTTGATGGCAGCGGCATCATTCTGGATCTGGTCCTCCGAAACATCTGCCTTGACTGATGCCAGCCCCCACCAGGTGTACAACAGTACATAAGGTACCCTAACTTATAATTATACTAACTTACTAACCCTGAACCTCCAACTTCAGTATGAACCCTAGAAGCCTTGATTGCTGAACCCAATCCCTAAACTCCTGAACTTCCAAACGACGATCCGGCAATGCAAGGCCAGGCGCACGCCAATCCTTCCAGGCGACCTTCTGCAAAATCCTCTTGATCCTCGGACAAGTGAGAATGTAGCGGTGCTTGGCCCATGCCACGGCCACGTGCTTCAGCACTGCCTGGGTAAGTCTCCCAGGGTCTAGTTTTCCAGGCCCGGACAGATTCTGGTATGGCATTTAAGGCTAGGCCTTACATACCTGCGAAGCCTATATCAGGCACCTGCCTAAAACCGTAACGGCCCTAAGTTCCCTCACCAAAACCCGAAACTCTGAAGCAAAAGCCAAAGGAACCATATTGATCTTGACGTCGCCCTGGCAGGACTTGCTGCCACAGTCCAGGATGAAGCGCTTTTTCTGGATCACCATGGTCTTGAGCTTGCGATCATTACGCAACCGGCCCAGGAGCTTCACCCGGACCTGCTTCCGGTGTTCGAGCTCAGCCTTCTCGTGATCTAGAGCCGGCTCAGGCTCAGCCACCGCAACCAAAGCCAGCTCAGGCTTCGCCATGACTCTTGACAATGACCCCTCTTAACTTACGGGTGTTGTCAAAACCACCCCACCACACCAATTTTTTTTGCATGCGCAAACATCATCAACTTCACCTATTATATATACATATCAATACCATGAAAAGAGCTCACGCACAGGCACCCTTTCTTGCAAATGGGAGCAGCGGATGGATTGTGCGCACAGAACCCTTTAGCATGTGCTTACTTGCATTACTAATTACTGTTCAGGGTTTTCGGTTTTCTGTGCAAACGATACTACACGAGAGATGCCAACTCAATAATGTTGTGCCGAAGTTGTCTTAAAGGCCGTTTAGACCAGCCCACTGTGCTGTGGGTCAAGCAGTTTTGCAAGTACGGCTGAAACACTAGTAAGTACAGTAATCCTTTGGCCAAACCAATACGCCGTTAGAAGTCAAACCTCAGAGGAGTGCTAAATCACAAACTGAAGCCAAAGCCACTGGTTTGACGTGCCAGAATATGTCCTAGAGTGCTAAATCACAAACTGAAGCCAAAGCCACTGGTTTGACGTGCCAGAATATGTCCTATATACTCTACAATCCTATATAATCCGTCTAGCCCCGGAATACATTAAACCATTTCCTAAAGTTTTCGTACTTCATTACCCTTACAGAACTGGTTACCTGCAATGCGGTTCAAAGTTTACCGATTTAGTTCTCTGCAATGCGACTGTTGGTAAACCTTCTAAAACGGGTTCCCCGCAATGGTGTGTCGCGGAACTTGTCGAAGCGCACAACTGCACCTGCAGCAAGCCACTTGCTTGGAGCGCTGCGGGGAATTATTTCCTTTGGGCTTAAAAGCTGAGTAAACCTTACAGAACTGGTTCCCCGCAATGCGGTGAACTATTTCGCCAAGGCTTAAATAATTAGTAAACCTTACAGGACTGGTTCCCCGCAATGCGGTCAACTTGTTCTTAATGCATAATCATAATCAAAACATAAGCACAGTACAGTGGCACAACAATGTATTGGTCGGTTTGTTTGAAACATACATTGTCGACTCAGCATGCATAAGCCTCGATTGTAAAGTTCGTACAACCAATCAAAATTGTTTTAGTTAGTAAAGGATCGGAAGCTAAAACAATAAATTTTCGACACGTGAAACATTATTGGCTATTCTAACAAACTCATTAAACATTACAGAACTGGTTCCCCGCAATGCGGTGAACTATTTCGCCAGGGCTTAGAGAATAGGCAAACCTTACAGGACTGGTTCCCCGCAATGCGGTGAACTTGTTCTTAATGCATAATCATAATCAAAACATAAGCACAGTACAGTGGCACAACAATGTATTGGTCGGTTTGTTTGAAACATACATTGTCGACTCAGCATGCATAAGCCTCGATTGTAAAGTTCGTACAACCAATCAAAATTGTTTTAGTTAGTAAAGGATCGGAAGCTAAAACAATAAATTTTCGACACGTGAAACATTATTCACTATTCTAAGAAACTTAGTGAACATTACAGAACTGGTTCCCCGCAATGCGGTGAACTATTTCGCCGGGGCTTAGAGAATTAGCAAACCTTACAGGACAGGTTCCCCGCAATGCGGTGAACTTGTTCTTTGTGCATCGTACAACCAAACACAATTGCTTTAGTACAGGATTGGAAACTGAAACAGTAAATTTTCGATGCAACACGTGATAACACTATTCATTATTGTAAAAGACTTAGTAAACCTTGCAGAACTGGTTCCCCGCAATGCGGTGAACTATTTCGCCAGGGCTTAGAGAATTAGTAAATCTTAGCGGACTGGTTCCCCGCAATGCGGTGAACTTGTTCTTTGTGCATAATCAAAACATAAGCACAGTGGCACAGCAATATACCTATACCCACTCCGGCCTGGAATATCAGCCCGAAGCCATTCAGACCCAGAAAGCAACCGAATGGAAATAATCAGACCGCGAAGAGAAAATCAGCCTGAATGAGGAAAATCAGGCCGAGGCATCCACATACATGGGGCTTCTCAGGATCATCGAGCTCAATGTGGTTCAAGTTCTTGATGCAAGGACATGTTACACATGCTACACATTGTGACTCTGTAGTTGGAGGGGAAAGCATGGGTTCTTCAATGAACAACCCTCGACCTTACAGCCAATATCTTAAAGATAGGATGATCTCTCGTAGCTTAGAAGCGTTCGGCGCCTGGATGCTTTTGCTCGCCACGTTCTCAGTCTCGGAGTGCTATCCAGCTTGCGAAAGCTGAAAGTCAGGAGTACTTCTTGTGTTTGAAACTTTAGTTGGTAAATTGAAGCTACCCTACATAATACCTGATGCCTATGCAAGCTTTTGGCGCTTCCGTCTATTCAGAAGGGCTCGGACTTTTAAAAATTGCCTTTGTATGACACGCTGGTCAACTAGGCGAACATCTAGCTTGCGACTGACCCTCGACACTCTGCCAATGAAGTCCTCATCCATGTCACAGGCATAGATTTCAGGATTCAGCATGGGGGCCCCTGAGAGTAGAGAGCATCGCAGGGTCCAAGCGACGTGATGAAGCGCATGTAGTTTCGGCTTTTGGATAAAGTGTCTCATGCTGAGGTTCAGGAGATGTCTACCAAGGTGTTGATAACCTCTCAAAAAGCGCATAATTGTAATGTACAATCTGCGGCCGCAAGGTCGAGGCAACACCAACTTGTGTTCACGAATCAAGAAAAGGATGGTCCGAGCAGCTTCGATGGTTTGGACCATTAGACTCATCAACTCGGCATGGCCTCCGAGGTTCGGAACAGTAGGGTGCAGCAACTGAAGTTTCAAGTACCACGAAAGCCATCGCAGCAACAGTACAGTGTCCGAGCCTTTGCTGTTGCTCCAGGGTGCGGACAGCATCGTCTTTATGTTGAAGAAATTCTTGGTAAAGGAACGCAACCCTGGGTTGACATGCTCGGCTGCACACCAAAGCTTAAAATTGCCATGGGCTCTTTCGAGCCGGTCTGGCAGGTTCTTCGAAGATTCTTCTGTATCGAAGAAAGTCTTGCGGCAAAGAAACACAAGCACTCCTCCAACGACATCCCGGCAGCAGCCAGACTTCATAATGTGAAACAAATCACCTTTGATGATATACTCAAACATAGGAGGCTCAGCAGCATCAAAGGGGATTGACTGCAACAAAGGAGGATTGCTGTTTGTCCAGGGCCGGGAAGAAAACATGGTTTGAGACCATAGGGGGCTTTCGCTGTAATCTTCGAACGGCCAACGTGTATTCCCAGCCAAACAATAATGGCAAATCTCACCCGCAGACCTCTCACCTGCGTGGAGCCAGCTACGTGTCAAATTCATAACCTTCTTGTGCCAATCCATGTCACCCTTGCAAGCAATCACGGCCCCGTACACCAGACCTCGACCTGGCACCTCGACTCCCGTATGGAAAAGCTCATGCAGGTCCGAAGCCAAAAGTTTGTACATAGCCTCCGCCACTTCTGGATGGCTCTTGGACTGCCATCCCGCTAGCCCATACAGCAAAAACCTTGACAAGTAGGAGTGTCCCTTAAAGTTGCACCATACAGAGTCAGCAAACTCTTGAGTCTTTCTGCTGAGGGCTGGAGATGGGCCGTCGGCGAATGGGAGATCGCTGCGATCACGAAGGCACTTTTCGCATTTGCATTTACCTTTGGAGGGCCTTGGGGTAGAGCCTAGGGGAGATTGCATACTCATCACTAAGTAATTTGTTCGTTTAAGAGCCCTCCCTTCATCCCCATGAAGACAAAGGGGAACGACTGAAGAAAGCCGCTGAGCATGGGTCTGGTAGATCTGATGGGTGGGGTGGATCTTCCGGTACAGCTCCCAAAAGCATTCGAAGTTTGAAAAGGGTTCACCTGGACTTCCACCTAGTAACTCGGGACACTCACTCAAAAGGAATTGCATCCAGCTCTGCGGACGGACACGGTAGGTCTTGACATCTGCCGACGATGCATCCAAAGTTGCATGTGCTGTAGTTTCAATCTTGATTGGCAATGACAACTTAGCTTTCTGAAAGACTCTTTGGGCATCGCGTTCTGGATTTTTGTCGGCAGAGTCTCGTGGCCGCTTTCCACGACGAGCATCAAGGGTTCGCGTCACTGACACCGCCTGGGCCTAGGAGGATTTTGGGTAATAGGGCTTCTCTTTTAGGGTCGGGGATTTGAATCGAGGGTGTGGGGGGGAGGCCACGATTTGACCAGCTGGGGGTTCGTCGCTTGTCAGGCTGATGAATTAATCTCACTAGACACTAAGCCCGATACGTTCAAGTCCACCTTCGACACTACAAACACTATCTAGACTTGCAGGGCTTGGGACCATGGTTTGGTGTTGCGTTGGAAGGCAATCAGCAGTTATAATTTTAATCCTTACGAACACGGAAAGATCGACCGATACAACAGTACTCTTTTCTTGGCATCTAATAAACCCCAGGCATCATTTAAGCTTGCAGTGGGTGGTGGGTAGCTAGGTAGGTAGCTCGGTAGGTAGATAAACAGGTATGTAGGTCCGATAGGTGCTTGGATATGTCATTAAGCAGCAGTAGTCACGGATCTAAACCCCAAACCCTAGACAGTGAGCCCTCACTAAGTTCGGGGAACTCGAGAACAAAAGCAATTAGTCCTACACCCGAAGCCTCGAACCCCAGGCCCCAAATTCCAGAAGCCACAGCACTACAATAAGCCCATGCCCGAAAAACTAAGCGTTTAGGACATTCTAGAACCTGTATCGGAACCCACATTCTCCTAAACCTGCTGATGATCCGTAGAACGGGTAGAGCCCCTAAAATCGGATCGCCAAATCGGACCTGAAAAAAACAAAAGCCTTCAACTCTAAGGCCTAAAGCCTGGACCCAGGACCCTGGACCAGTCGCATAAGCGAGCTAAAGGTTTAAGGATTTAGGGTCTAGGGTTTCAGGGTCAGAACCCGAAGTCCCGAGGACAAGACCCCATCCCCCATCGTTTCTGCCAGATGCTCCAGCAGAACATCGCTTTCCGAAGAAGTGTCGTCGACAGTACCTGGCCGAGAGTTTGGTTGGCGAGTTTGGATTTCTGGAGATTTGGCTTCGGGGAATTTTATTGGGGTTACTTACTTTTTTGCCTTTGCGAACGATGGCCCCTGTCACCATCCAAGCCATGAGCACAACTTGAATGGACAAATTTGATTCCTTGTGGAATACGAAATGCATGGACCTGTTCCTGCGATCCCCGCTTAACAGATTTTGCTTGATTACAAGAATGGTGTTTCGAAGAGGCTACTATAGCAAGTAGGTGGGTCGGAGGTTCGCAGGTTTCAGGGTAAAACAGACCTACTTTCGAGGCTTCTTGGTAGAGGCCGGAGTGGCTGGAGCTTCACGCTTCTGCTTCTGTAGAGCTCGGCCTTTGGCCTTTGCCTTTGCTTTCGACTTTCCTTTCGGGGAAGCTTTAGCTTTTCCTTTAGGTTTCCCCTTTGGGCATGCCGATTCGCTCGTCTCGGCCGGCGCATGGCACCTCGATCCCAGAAACAGGCCCAAGAAACAAACAACGGTTTACTTTGGAATGAAGTGTCTCGGGCTCTCGCTTCACACGATCGTGCAGAAGCAAAGCATCAACCACCCTCAGCACAAGAAGTTTCAGCATAAGCATCACCCCACACCTTGGAGAAACACAAAGAATCCAAGTGAAGGACATTTGTCGATTCTCGTCAAGCATCACTTTGATGTCCTTGTTCATCCTTAGCTGCCGACTGCACCTAGTCAAACCTGACAAATAACCCTCGAACATCACAATACTAAGTGTACAAACCATTGAGAAAGGAGTCCCCCGTGTAAAGCCATTCAGCGTGCCCTCCTTGATCTTCGTCTCGATGCTATCCACCGATGCCGTGAGGTCTCCTTGAACCTTGTTCAGCTTTGCCTTCAGCCTTAAGGCAGGATTAGGGGAATTAGGGGCTTACTTGAGGATCCAGGCTTTTGAGATCGATGCTACGTGTCGACTGAGGTGTCGTCTGCTGTTGCAGAGGTGTCAATGTTGCGGGGTCGACATTGGAAAACCGTTGCAACAAGGTGTCGATCTTCTTCTCATGCCGCTGTATGCACTTCATGCACGGGTGTAGAAGACTGCTCGGGCTAGCATCCTTCGCGAGCTCGGGCCAACTGACCTTTTTGGCCACGCTTCCCTGATCGACAGCCAGCTGACCATCGCTGGCTTTCGCGTCCTCGGGTTCCACATCCAAGAGCTCCTTGAAAGCACCGCCTAGGCGGTTGAGGTTTAGGAGTTCAGGTTTTACACCAAAGTCTATGGCTTAAGTTTAGGGTCAGGGTTTATGGAGTTCTGTTCGGCATTTACAAGGTTCGGATTCGCAGTGCTTTGGGATCTTGGGGTTCAGAGCTTCAAGCTCCTGTTTAGATGCTCGTGGATGATTAAACTAAAGGTATACCTACGGGTGAGGCCACTTACCTAGAACCTATTCTCCCATTTTAATCACAAGCGAAAGTACCATCCTAAACCCTGAGATTAAGTCTTTGAGGCACTTAGGGTACGTAATGTAATGCCATCGGTTAAGCTTGGGAACTGTCGGGATTGGAGAGGCCCCAATTGTCGAATTTGTGCTTGTCTAGCACGTCATTCTTTGAGGATGCATCTTCCTCCCAATCCATCATCTCCTGGTAGATCTTGCGCTTCGTCTTCCTCAATGTGCACAGATTACATGCCCCGATGCACAGCTGCACACATTACGTAATAATTTGCACAGCGACACCACTGTGTAGATGAGTATCGAGAGTTTCCCCTTGATGCGGACATCAGTCCAATACATTTCTCCTTCTCCGTACTTGCTCTGCCTTTCGAGGAAACAGGGCAATGCTGAACGCACGACCACGACGACCGCTGCCTCACCAAGGAAGGCCGGGAGGAGCAGTATGCGACGATTCCTGCTTTTTTGCTCCTGCACGGGAGCAAGGAATTTGAAGTGTCAGGGTCTAGGTTTTAGTTAGGTTTTAATCCTAGTCATTGGTCTCAATTCTAGACAAGTCGCTCACTGAAATTCAAGTTGTCCATGTCCTCGAGCGTAAGAAACTCACCCTCTATCTCGAAGGATTCTTCCTCCACTTCTTCGGCGATAGCTTTGCATCGCTTGAGAAACTGCTCCTTTTAGGATGCAAGCGATTTCTTTTCAAACTCATGTGTACTGAGTAGAAGTGTAACACAAAGAAGCTGAAGCTTTTGATCACAAGCCCCGCCCGGTGATAGGATGTTTTCTCGAACAATCCCATAAGCCGATCTCTGCCCCCTCCAGGACTCTTGTCAGCCCACTGCTTCACAAAGTCAGCAGCCACGAGGTAGGAACCGTCAGCTCGCGGGGTGAAGATTCGTCGCATTCGTTGCTTCACGGCTTCTGCGGAAAGTTCTGCGGGTGGCAGGCTAGCAACTCCAAATTCGTCATCAGAGTCACAGGCAACAGGAGCAGGCTCTGGCTTTGGCACTAGCGTGTGTGTAGCAGTCCGAAGCCGCCTCGGCTTCTGGGTTGCACCAGAAGCAGCTTCCGCAGTTGTGCTGGCAGGGCTTGCTAAAGAAGCTTGGGGTGTAGGTGCCGGAGCGCTTGGTAAGGAAGCTTCGGGCGTAGGTGCCGGAGTGCTTGGTAAGGAAGCTTGGGGTGTAGGTGCCGGAGTGCTTGGTAAGGAAGCTTGGGGTGTAGGTGCTGGAGTACGATGTGCATCTTGGGACTCCTGGGGTGGAAGTGCAAGCTGTGCATCCTCATTAGGATCGAGCTGCGTATCACCCAAAGTGCCTCGCCCTGACAGGCGAGAGTGAGGCGAGGAATCTGGCTCCGAGGCAGGCAGCACACCAGCCGTTTCGGTGGTAGGCTCTTCGTGACAAACCTCTGGCTTCACAGCCTTCAGACCACTAGCATCTCCCGCAGTTGCCTGGAAGCGGAACTGTAGTGCCGGCAGCAGCAACAAAACCTACTACAACGATTATCCAGCCTGGGCCCAGAAGAGGATTTGGAGCTCGTCGTCATTCAGCTCGTCCAGAGTTGCTTCGGAAAGCGGCTCGGCCTGATCTGCAATCTCCTGCTTGAGCTCCTGAGGGCAAAACTATTTGGCGCTGGCTAGGGCATGTGCAGGGGTGACAGAGTCCAGTTTGGGATCATGGGTCCTGTAGTTCCTGTTCCATACGCTCAAGCTCCGGATCGGAAGCCAAAGCCAGCGAGTTGCATCGGACTAGGTCCAGGCCCCGGCCCAGCGTCTCTGTCGAGTGACACCCGCTGAGAAAGCTCATGGCTGCCCTCAGCCACCCTAAGCCTACGACCCTAAAGCACCCCTTCTATGAATGGGACACCACTCGGGCCCAAAACAGGGCCTTTGGAGAAGCACAGGTGCCGAAAGCAACTGTTATAGAACGAGTCGGTGCATACGAAGAGCAGCTCAAAATGGCAGTACGGGTTGCAACGCCTGAAGGTTGGGTAAAAACGGCTGAAGGTTGGGTAAAAACGGCTGAATTGGGCAGTCAGTTTTGCACGGAGACCTGCGAAACCATGAAGAATCCTAAATCCACAGCTTTGCTGTCACAGGCATGAGCCTGACACTGCCTGCTTCAACTCTGGAGGCAAGTGCAAGTGTTTGCTTCCATACACGTATGTGAGAGGGCACCAAAGCTCAGCATCGTTCCAATTGTCACCGATCGCAATACTGTTCAGGAACTCTAGGAGGCCAGAATACTGTAGTGGTGCCTCGGGTCGGCAGCAGGTTTCAGGCAAGGCTATTAGAATGCTTACAACCCCGAAACCTGTAAGGACTGCCCCGAAACTCTGGAATTGCCAGGAGGCCCGGATGGTTGGATTTTCCGCCAAGAGGTGCCTTCGACCACGAACGACTTGTGCTGCAAATTTCGCGGGATAGGTCCTGGGATGTTGCGTTGTTTGGTTGTGTTTAGCTTTGGGGCTTTAGGGTTTACTGCCCCTTTCAGGACATGATTTAATAGGTGCTTCCTAGTCACTAGGAAGCACCTATTAATTGGAAGGTTTGTGTTTGGATTTCAAGGTTCGGTGTTACTCTTCAAAAGCTGTGACTTCAGAGGATTCGGGCTGGGGTTTGGGCCTAGGCACTGGCTCTGCTTCAAGTTCGGAGTCGCAGTGTACGTCTTCTTGCCATGTTGGTTGACCGCATACTTAGCCGTCTTCTTTGTCGTCTTGTGTAGAGCATGCTGGATCCGACCCAAGCAGAAGTTTGAGATCCATGAAGACGTTGACCAAAGAATGGTACGCTTCAAGCTCGCATGGCCGTAAAGCTTCAGCCACAGGGGTTGCCTCCAAACCTAGGGGAACAAATTCATAGGAGCCCTGGAGATGTAAAAACCTTTAAACTGCATTGCTTGATCTTATTCAAGTCACTTTGATCCCTCGTATCCCAAGAGCTTTCAGAAGCCACTGGAACTTTGGAAAGAATTGCAGGAGACTGCTCCGTGGCTGCTCCAGCAACGGCACACCGCCGCAGGCGAGCACAAGCAGGAAGAGTAGCACACACCTGTTGGGAATGTTCCGTTGGATTCGGGTTTATGGACTTACTCCTCCACTAGTTTTTTTGGGCAGAATATGGTACCTCGCTGCAAGCTTGTTATGTCGATAAACTTCGGGGCTTGCAAAGGTCCCGCTGGAAAAGAATTCGGACCGCTGCGTACTTCCCCGGCTCATGTCAACCCAGGTGGAGCAGGGAATGCCAAAAATCGCCAGGAGAGCTCCCGACTTGCTCTGAAGGATTAAACCACATGCCAGCCTAGGCCACCAGGTTCTTACTCTAGACTTTAGGGTTTAGGTGTGGGTGATTTAAGATAATGGTTTCAAGGGTCTTAAGGGTTAAGGGTTTAGGGGTTGCACCGTGGGAGCGACAATTGCGACACTCAGCGGCTCAGCGGTCTCTTTCGGGGGATTGGCAGAGACAGGAGGACTCTGGGATGTTGGGAAATTCGATAAAGTGTTATGGGTCAGGGACAAAGCAGCTTCACCAGCTTCACCAGCACCAGCACCACCACCACCACCAGCACCACCACCACCAGCAGCATCACCAGCCTCATCTGTAAAGCACTAGACTAGATCTGAAAACCAATAGTTGGGCTCTACAATTAGAGCTACTAGTGGCAGTATACTAGTACCAGTAGGTTCAGACCGGAGGTACTCTCTAAGCCTAACAATGGACAGACAAGGAACAGGAAACCTGCATTCGTGTTCACATCCATGCTGTTGCTTTTCTTGCGGTTGTCTCCGTCGCAGTAATCTTTATCGAGAGCAGCAGCTTTTAGGCCACATGACTTCGCGATTCGGGCTATCCTGGCTTTGCCTGCGAAGAAATCCAAAACATCATAGAAATCAAGCTCCTCGAGAATTGCCAGCTTCATGAGGCACATGACCAGACAAATGAAATCCTGGGATGGCTTGGGAGCTCGTGTAATTGGGTCTGGGGATGTATTATGTAAAGATTAGGGGTCGGAAAGTAAGACGGGATTGTTAGTGTGCTCATTGCCTATTCTGTTTCAAGAAACCCTTGGTGCTCCAAGCCAAGCCAGGTTCGTCAGTACCCGGATATACTTCTCGGAAAGGTCATACCATCCATGGCGCATGCTAGCTTCCGCCGGTTCCCCCGGCTCGGGCAATGGTAGGTTCACTACCGAACTGTAAAAGCCTCACAAGCTACAGCATCAATAGAAACTCCCACATATTCCGATCTCAAGCTGCAGCCTGACTGGAAACACAGTCAATAACAAGCCTGGCAAACTGTCAGCCAGGCCGTACTTCGCGTACACTCGGAGGCCAGCTGGAAGGCGGCTCATTCCCAGCAGTACCTGCGCAAATCAGGGAAGTCGTCGCTTTTTAGGTTTCAGGTTTGCTGGGTTCGGCTGCAAGGCTCCAGTAGCACGCTCACAATCGGCATTGCATCAACCAGACAAGTTTCTGCAGCTGTTCTGGCAATCTCTAGATTCAAAAGGAAGCAGAAGCAGATGCGATATGTCTTTTGAACACAGCCGGCGTCGGGATGTCCCGATTAATCAGATACCAACAGCCATCGCAGGCTTTCGGACTGGCACTTTCAGGCCCAGCTGCTGGCACACCGAGGCAGGGACGCAGGATCATGCTAGTTAAGAAGCACAATACCGGTACCGGAAGATCATGCGAGCTGTTACCCGCGCCCCTTACCTCATCCCAACAGACCCATACAGCACAGCAAAAGATCCCCTAATCGAATCACTGTACTGAGCAAAGATCGACAAGCCAGTCTCGCCATCAGGCACTGTCAGCACCGACCAGCCAGCCTTAGATTATAAGAGCACAACACATCATTGGAAAAAGAGAGCTGGGGCGTGACAAAACACAAATCTATTGGGTCAAGAAGCGTTGAACAGACTCCAAAGTCAGAAAACTTTCAGCACATGTTTTGCAGCATTTCCTCATGTCCAAGACCACACCGGATCCACGCTTATCCTTGATCTCTTCAGACAAGGCCTCAAGGCAATGCTTCCAGTAGGCATCCTGCCGATCGAGCAAAACAACTTCCCACCCCACCGCCTGCACACTCACACAACCAGCTCTAGCAAGCATTAGCCGAAGAAGTCCTCGGCTTTGGAACGGAATCTCAGATGATTGGCCACGTAAAGCTCGAAGGAGTCCCGGATGCAGGTCCACCTCTGCTTCGCAAGCGCCTCGCGCGTAGGACACGGCCTGCTGGCAAACGTCTTTTTGCCCTCAGCTCCCTCCTCGGGCTCCTTCTGGTCCGATGCCTCGGCAGCCGGCTCAGAGGGAGCTGCCCCTTCGTCCTCGGCAGGGGCTTTCACCTTGCTCTTGGCAGAAGCTTTCGCCTTGGTCTTGGCAGAAGCTTTCGCCTTGGTCTTGGCAGAAGCTTTCGGCTTGGTGACAGCCTCCTGCTTGGCCTCCTGCTGGTCGTCGCCAGTAGAAGACTCTCCTTCCTCAGCCGCCCGCTTCCGCTTCGGAGCAGATTGCTCCGCACCCAAGCTCGGAACCTCGCCGGTCTCTGCTGGGGCATCTTCAGGATTCGGCTTCTTCTCGGGGCCGGACACACCGCCTTTGCTCGCTGATTTCGCCTTCGCTTTCGCTTTTCCTTTCGCTTTGGCCTTGCCCTTAGGCTTGGCCTTCCCCTTGGGCCTGCCTGGGCCCTTTTTCCCATTCTTGCCTGTCGGAGGTTCCGCCTCTTCATCCTCCTCCTTCTCGACGTCTTTTTGCAAAGCCACCTTGGCTTCGAACTGGTCCTTGCGGCTCAACCCGGAATCCGACAAGTGGAATAAGTCGCCCTGAGCAGCATCGCTGGATACAACCGTCTTAGCATCGCACACAAACTCGGGCTCAGGTCGCGATTGTGAGTCTGGCTCACCAACGACCTTTGCATCCGGGCTCTCATCTGCAGCCACTGCCTGGAACTGCTTCGTAAGATCACGAGCAACAGGCTCTAGATCCATGGGCTGCGTCTCCATGTCCAGCAGAGGGACTGCCTCAAGCTTTGCCGTGGACGGCCTCGCGCAAGCCAAAGTCCTTCTTCGCTTCTCAATCTCTTGCCTCGATTGCAAAAAAACCGTGACGACCCATGTGGTTGCTATTCATGCAAATGTTGCCGAACCTAGATCATGCATCTCAGAAACCGCAGCTGGTCGAGACGTTCTAGGCGAAAATTCTTAATCTTGCGGAGAGGAGGAGGCGGAGGAGCCTCTGCCTCCAGATCAATGACCACCTGCATCCCGCACTCGGCCTTGCTCGTGACCTCCGCCTTGATCTCATCCTTCGCCTTGATCGTGTCCTCCCCCTTGGTCGCGTCCTTCGTCTCGATCGTGTCCTCCCCCTTGGTCGCGTCCTTCGTTTCGATCGCGCCGTTCGACTCGATCGCACCCTTCGACTCGATCTCGTCCTTCGACTCGATCACGTCCTTTGTCTCGATCGCACCCTTCGACTCGATCTTGTCCTTCGCCTCGATCGCGTTCTGTCTCAACCCGGTAACTGGGGCTGCCACCAAAGCTCCAGATAGCATATCGTAGAGCTCCTGATCGTCAGGGTCTGCATCACCCGCCAAAATTTCGTCCGCTGGGACAAAATCCCGATAGAACCCATCGGCTTCACCACCAGTCTCGGGATCAACTTCCACATCCTCCTCCTTGCATTCCTCCTCCTCTCCTTCCTCGCCATCATCTGCCACATCACCAGGCATCGGCTGAACCTGGAAGTAATGGTTCATGACGTCGAAGAGCTTCCGAACCACAGGATCCTCAGTCTAGGAGTCTAGTATGGGGACTTGAGGGCACTTATCGATACAACCTGGGCTGCCGCAAAGGAGCCCTTCGCTTGGCGCCGTTGTGGCGCTTAATCATATACGTGACAAAGCACCGAAGGGAGGATGCATCACAGACGACTTTTGCCGGATCAGCCGGCATCTCGAGGTCCTCCCTCATCAAAGCAATCTGCGGGACAGTGCAAACCCAAGCAGGCAAGCTAGCATGAAATCGACACTCAAGCATTTGTCCAAACCTCTGCCTCACGTCGTGCTGCAAACACGTTGATCGTTCTCAACTCTGGGGCCGGGTGAAGGTAGTGGTGAAGCAAAATCGTGAGGACTGAAGCATTGGGCCGCATGGATTTGAAATTGATGATGCCGACCTTTTTCGGCTCTTCCCAAACCAGCAACCTGCCCGTTTTCAACAGTCGCTTCCTGATTTCCTTCTGTTTCTCCAACTTTGCCGCGAGTCCATCTAAGGCCAACTCATCGGCCTTGTGCTCTTTCTTCGGCATGAGCTGATCTTTCTAAGCTACACAGTCCTACCCTGTTTAGCCTGGCTATCGAGCCTGACAGAAATGGAACAAGCAAAATGAACCAGAAGCAACAACCGTCATCGCAACAAAAAGCCGCACAAGAAATGGGTGGACTGGGCGGCACGAGGGAGGGCACTGCAGCACAAAGAAGTCGCCAGGGCCAGCAACTCATCAGTGAGCCAGCATGTAGGACCTGCGTGCACAAGATAAACAAAACTTATTACACAACATTTGTTCGGCTGCACACCGTGAGCACAACAGTTGCATGCACGAAAGCATTTTCTAGCAACAGTCATCTTCCCAAGTTGTTGTTTCCCCAACTGTCAAGGGAAGTTCCCTCTGATGCTTCTGGAAGCCCTGACTGCAGGTCAAGGCGGTGCTTCGCCTGAGCGATGCGATGGAGAGACTCATGTTACGGCAGTGATAAGGCTGATATGACACATTCTTGAGAGCTCAGGAAGCAGCGGTGCTTTCGTAGAATGGTAGCAAAATAATGCACCACCCCCTTCAGCCGGTAGTTGTGTAGGATGGTCCAAGCACGATCGTCACTGATGGGAACCTCACCAGAAAAGGAAACCAAGGGAATTAAGATTCTCAAACCCTACACCCTAAACCTGCAAGACTCATTATGAGATAGTTGATGACCTAATCCCCATTGAAGTGACCTCGGGGTTCGTATCGAAGAGCACCTCCTGACATCGAAGCCAAAAAGTCGGTGGCAGATCGAAAAGTCCTGGGAAGGATCCGGGAAGGAGCTTGATTGAAGTTGCTTTGTTAATGTGCAACCGAAGACAAGCCTTCTTTTTGAAGTTCGCAGGTGAGCACAAGGCTCAAATGAACGGCAGCCATCCTTCCTACACCCCTCCAGGGAATCCTACAAATCCTACTAGTAGCTGCAGCAGCTGAAACGGCTGATTTGCCCATGCCACAACTGATGCAACACTGTCGACATCTCGAACAGACAGCAAGCCACAGCGAAGCATTCAGAAAGAGAGGGGGGCGCACCTTCGGGCGTCCACGAGATTTCCAGGGCCCGAAGAAGCTTTGAGCCAGCTCATGATCCATGAGCAAGGCATCAATACAAGATTGAAGTATATATCGTTTAGTTACGATCTATTACACAGCTTCCGAACTCTTAAATGTCGAAGAAAGCTCGAAAGGGCAATTCCGACCGCAGTCGTTTTTTCCAGGACACTTCTTATTCAGTCGCCCGAATACCGTTCGGTCTGGAATACTAGACTGAAGGAGGGTCCAGGTATTGATCTGTTTGTCTTCAACATACACTGTCGACTCAGCATGCATAAGCCTCGATTGTAAAGTTCGTACAACGACACAGAATTGCTTTAGTAAAGGATCGGGAGCTAAAACAATAAATTTTCCATTCAACACGTGAAACACTATTCACTATTCTAAGCCCCAGGGAAACAGTTCCCGCAGCTTGCGGGAACCTTTCTGTAATAGAATGATCAGAATCAGTATTTATAGAATATAGCACTCTTTCAAACCTAACTACTCCTTCCTGCCGGCACTATTCAGCAGTGCAAGTCCGACCGGGGTCCTAAGACACAAACAAACGCATTTCCTAGTTTTAGGGTTTGAACGGCTTAGGGTTTATCATATATGATGCTCAGATGCTACAGAGGTGCCAGTCTTCAACCATGCCAAGGGCATGCTCAGTCGAGTCGAAGCATGAGAATCTAAGCGCACTAGGGTGAAGCGACCTTTGAGCTTGAAAGTCTCATGTGGATATGGTTTACACTGAAGAATGCAAGCACGAAACTGATGGACAACACAAAGTCATCCCTTGAAAACTAAACCTTCTACGTCTTTGCAATGGCTGCCTCTCTGCTGTCAGCTGGCTGGCTGTGGCAACCTCGGCACGAGACTGGTTTGGGCTGCAAGTGGTTTCTTTCTACCTGGGTACCCCCAATTTGTGGCCATCATTCATTCTAAGGCCCCTGTCAAAAACAAGTCTTCAATCCTGAACGCCTAACTTACCGCTGCTAGTTTAGCGATGCGCCTGTGAAAGGAGATAGGTCAGGTACGTAGGAGTGCTTTTGAATTTTGATTCGTAGTACTTAACTGGTGTCTAGTTGAGGGGTTCTCCTCTGAAAGGCGATAGGTCTAGGTTCTTGGGGCTGCGCCTGCGAAAGGTGATAGCTTATTACTTAACGGGTGTCTAGTTTAGGGTTTTGCCTGTGAAAAGTGATAGGTCTAGTAGTAGATCCTTAGGGGTGCGCCTGGGAAAGGGGATAGCTCAGTACGTAAACAAATGTCTAGTTGATAGGGTTTTGCCTGTGACAAGTGATAGGTCTAGGTCCTTGGGGCTGTGCCTGCGAAAGGTGATAGCTTAATACTTAAAATCAAATGGGGGTCAGGTTTACGGGCTCGCTTGTGAAAGGTGGTCCTTGGAAATGCGCTTGCAACAGGTGATAGCGTCGTAGTTCAAGGGCATCTCGTTTAGGGGTTCGCCTCATACTTACTGCTACAATGGATATGATATCCAAGCTTTTTAGCTTGGCAGCCCGACACAATTAAGGTTCAGGTGGATTTTGGAGACAAGGGTATGGGTTAGTTAGGGCATGCTGGCCAGATTTTACCGTGACATTACTCGACTGCACTCGCAACAACCTGGAGAACGCATTGAGGCGCCAGCCCCTGGACAAGCCCGATCGGAATGTGCCTGCCGAAGTCGCACGTCACTGAATCCACTGACGCAACTAGAGTAACTTTGGGGATGCCTGGAATGCCAACAGGTTTAGGGTTTAGGCAGAATGCTGACAATCGTCCAGGGGAGGTCGCCATGAAGCACAGAAGTTTTCCGCCAGCTCAGCAAGTCGCAGCACAAGGCGAATCCCAGCTCCTCTTGGGATTGATTCCGGCCCCTCTTGGACGAGGGCGAATTGCAGCTCCTCTTAGAGGAACGTAAAACATTCCATTCCGGTGAACTGTGGGCCACTGGCTGCCAGGCGCTCAAAGCAGCTGGGAAAAGCGATCATCTAGCACATAGACCAATCGAGACACTTCAGTCCTGGTTCCGTGCACAACCATTAGTGGCAAGAACCTTCGCTGGATGTCTCTGTCATCCACTGCAGACCAAACACCTCGTCTGTACTGGAAGTCGAGGTCGTGCCTATTCACGTTTCCAGACGGGGAGCATGCAAAGCCACGGAACTCCAAGAGAGTGTTGTGATAGCTTTGCCACGTGCCCTGCCACTCCAGCACTCTGAAACTCCTCCTGGTCAGCCGATAGAAGCCCACAGCACCACCCTCTTCCAAGATCAAGTACTCTCTGCGCCTTCCACAAGCCTCGCCCCACGCATGAAAGTGCTGATACTTGCAGATCATGTAGTAGCGAGTAGGCTCGAGTGCCATAACGCACAACTGCACAAGGAGAGCTGGAGCAGAAAATCGAGGGTGGTAGGAATGGCCTACAAAATTATGCAAATCTTGGGCCAGAAGCGACACATCACAAGGTAAGCAGTCCCCATGCCCAGCTCGGACTTCTTAACTTCTCGCAAGGGCTGTGCAGTGCAGGAAGCAGGAATAGCTTTGACGGCCCGGCTCAGGGGCATGGGTAGGAATACCGACACTGGTCTAGGGAAGGTCGCCATCGAGCAAGGCTTTTAGGATTTAGGTACGAATGCCGACAATGGTCAAT